TACTTTTTGGTCACTCTGCATTAAGAAATCTTTTATTGATGCCAAGTTTTTCTCAATCCACACATTCAATTACATGACCTCATAAGGGGTTGTGATCCCAAGCTAAAGAAGCTGGGACCTAACCAGCAAATTTCACTTCTATACTCTTGGCTAAGATCCTGAATTGCTGTAGCAGTCTCCTTTATAAAACCATGGTTAAAGGCCCTGTAGGGTACCATTTCCCATTCTCCATTTCATAACCTACCTTCTTCAGCAGGCCTTACTTTCTAATCAAGCACAGAGGGTATTTGACGCGTTAGGTAGGGGAGCTGGTACTGAATCCCAACACCACAATCTCAACAGCTAAGAATAAGTGCCAATGTCTCTGCCACGCACCACCCAACCACATTCCTAACATTAGGATTTTAAAAAAAGTTCAATTTTCCAGGACAAAATCACAAGTTTCAAGATCTAGGGCAGAGTCATATAACAGCTATGTATTGTAAAATCTTCTAAGAGCTTTTGCAAAACACCTACATTATCCCCAAACTTAAGATGTTAAATTACTAGCTTTTTCTTCTGAGGTCAGACCAAAAAGAATTCTAAGGCCATTTATTTGCCATATTTAGGATGCTCATGTGGGAGAAATGGCAAACATCTGTCTACAATACTTTCTGGAATTTTGACTATTTTTTCCTTGTCAGAACGAAAGCATTAAGTTTTTACTGGAACACAAAATTTGTATTCTAGCACAGAACTTCATGATTGAGACCATGTCCTTGTCACACAGTTAAACTATTGCAATTCATTTTTTGTTTGTTTTGATAGGCATTGCATTTGCACCTGCTGGCCTTGAACTCACTGTGCAGCTGAAGATGACTTTGAGCTTACATCCTGAATGCCAGGATGATGGGCACTGATTGCACACGTACTATCATCCCCTATTTATACAGTGCCAGAGACCAAACCTGAGGCTTTGAGCATAGCAGAAAAGCATGTTTCCAACTCAGCTACATCCCCAGCCTACCTCTGTATTTCTTTTTCTTCTCTTTTAAAGACAGGCCTCAGCTAGCTAGCCTGAGTGGCATCTTATTTCTTAAAGAAAGTGAAAGCCCATACTAAAGTTTTTGCATACACTAAAGGATATTGAAATATGAGAAAATGCAGTATTATTAACAAAAAAAAAAAAAAAAAAAAAAACCCTGAATGCTCATTGGGACACGATCGACATCTCTCAGTGAAGGTATAGTATACCCTTCCCATCTATGTCTTCCATCTACATCCCAGCCCTCTTTTTTATTCATTCATTTACTTATTTGTTGAGACCGGGTCTTCTTTTTTTAGTTATAATTTATTTTCTGTGAATGAGTGTTTGTGTACCACATGCATGCCTGAGATGCCTGCAGAGACCCGAAGAACATGTGGATTCTCTGAACTGTAGTTATAGATGATTGTGAGCCACCATGTGGGTGCTGGGAATTAAGGTACAATCTCTTTGAAGAACAGTCAGGGAATTATTGATGTTTAACAAGGATCAGGAGAAACAAATAGGCAGAATAGATGTTTATTCAGGGAGAAATAACTCACAACCTAGACAGATGAACACCAGCAGGTTCCTGGTCCCAAGGATGCCTCCAGAAGTGCTCCTGTCCCCCTGCTGCAAGCAAGAGAGCTCTCCAAACTCCTTCCTCAGACCTAGTTTCCCCCAGGTCACGTCAGGCCCTGTCTCCACCCCCATGGGCGTGGTCTATGCCACAGGTGCGGACTACTGGGAATGCTCTTTACCACTGAGCCATCTCTCCAGAGACCAGCCTTTTCATGTAGCCCTGGTTCATGTGGAACTCACATTAGCCTGCCTCTGCTTCCCATCGCTGGGATTAAAGGCTTCTGGCTCCATGTTCAGTTTAAGACCACATTTTGTTTAGTTTTTGGGGTTTTTTTCTTTGAGACAGAATCTCACTCTATAGCCTTCCTTGGCCAACCTAGTACTCAATATATAGTGTTGGCTAGCCTTAAATTTATAGCAATTCCCCTGCCTCAGCTCCCAGGCACTAAGATCACAGGAGTATTATCAACATACCTATCTGTTTGTGGGGTTTCTAGCATGGTGCTTAGAGTCAACTTAGGGATCTGTACATGCTATCAAGTGCTCTACTACTGAACCAAATCCTCAACACCAATGATTCTTTTAACCACTAAAGCCACTTCTGCTGTAATACTTTCAGGTAATAGAAAAGTTATATCCCTTCCTGAGTTTTGAAATAGCAAATTAGGAACCAATGAAATTACATCTGCTCTAGACATTTTGCTCTCTGCAGTTTGGCGAGGACCCTCTAGGTAAGGTCATAGGTACCGCCTTCATTGTCTGAGTGACAGCTGAAAACGTTTCTACCCCACAGCTCAGTGTGTGGAACAAAGTAAATACATAACTTTCTTCTATAAGGCTCTGAAATAACACTATGACTCAAAGTGAAGATTCTCTAGAGATGAAGCTAGATTTCAGCATTGATCACCAACCATACAATGCATTCAATGAACGGAAACAAACCAAGACTGTCATAGGTCAGAAAGCCAGCCACTGACTGGCCCTTGGAGTTAGGACAATGTAATTAATTATCAACAGAGAGAAACAAATAAGAGAAAAGCAAATAAGTGGGCATAGTGATACATGACTTTAATCCTGCACTCAGGAGGCAGAGGCAGGCATGGTCTACATAGTGAGTTCTAGGCCAGCCTGCGTTACGTAATGAGAGACTGTCTCAAAAAAAAAAAAAAAAAAAAAAAAGAAAGAAAGAAAAACAAATGATCATCTTAACTAATGTAAAATTTGGAAATTTTAATATACAATTTTAAAGAGAAGGGGAAAACTCTCACTTAACTAGAAATAGATGGTAACTTCTTAACACATCACTTAACACATCAAAGGCATCTATTAAAAACTATCAGCATAGATGTATGGATTAATGTCAGGGTCTTTGATTTGATTCCACTGATCCACCTGTCTGTTTTTATGCCAATACCAAGCTGTTTTTATTACTATAGCTCTATAATAGAGTTTTAAGTCAGGGATGGTGATGCCTCCAGAAGTTCCTTTATTGCACAGGGCTGTTTTAACTATTCTGGGTTTTTGTTTTTCCATATTAAGTTGAGTATTGTTCTTTCAAGGTCTGTGAAGAATTGAGATTTTGATGGGGATTGCATTGAATCTGTAGATTGCTTTGGTAGGATTGCCATGTTTATTATATTATCCTACCTATCTAAGAGCATGGGAGATCTTTCCATTTTCTGATATTCTCTTCAACTTCTTTCCTTAGGGACTTAAAGTTCTTGTCACACAGGTCTTTCACTTGTTTAGTTAGTGTTACCCCCAAGATACTTTATATTTGTGGTTATTGTAAAGGGCGATGTTTCTCTGATTTGTTTCTCATTCTGTTTATCATTTGAATATAGGAGGACTGCTGGTTTTTTTAGAGTTAATCTTGTATTCTGCCACATTACTGAAGGTGTTTATCAGCTGTAGGAGTTCCAGGATAGAGTTTTTAAGGTCACTTATATGTATATTACCACATCATCTGTGAATGATGACAGTTTGACTTCTTTCCAATTTGTATCCCCTTGATCTCCTTTTGTTGTCTTATTGCTATAGCTAGAAATTTAAGTACAATATTGAATAGATACAGAAAGAGTGGATAGCCTTGTCTTGTTAGTGATTTTAGTGGAACTGCTCTGAGTTTCTCTCCATTGAATTTGATGTTGGCTGTTGGCTTGCTGTATATTACTTTTATTATGTTTAGGTATGTTTCTTGTATCCCTATTCTCTCCAAGATCTTTATCATGAAGGGGTGTTGGATTTTGTCAAAGACTTTTGCAGTATCTAGTGAGATGATCATGTATTTTTTTCTTTCAATTTGTTTATATGGTGTATTACACTGATCGATTTGTGTATGTTGAACCATCTCTGCATCTCTGGGATGAATCCTACTTGGTCATGGTGGATAATTTTTCTGATGTATTCTTGAATTCGTCTTGCTAGTATTTTATTGAGTACTTTTGCATCAATGTTCATGAAGGAAATTAGTCTGTAATTCTCTTTCTTAGTTGGGTCTTTGTGTGTTTTGGGAGCAGGGTAACGGTAGTTATTGTAAAAAGAGTTTGGCAATGTTCCTCTATTTCTATTGTGTGGAATGATTTGAGGAGTACTGGTATTAGCTCTTTGAACATTATGTGGAATTCTTCAGTAAAACCATCTGGGCCTGTGCTTTTTTTTTTTTTTTTTTTTTTTTTTTTTGGAAGACTTTTGATGACTGCTTCTATTTTTTTAGGGGTTAGCTCCCACTGTGAACCTCCTCACAACAGCAGGCCTCACCCTAACTGCATACTGCCTGGACACCAGATCACTGTACACTGTCTCAGGAGGTGGAGCTCATACTACCTCTCAATGTAAGATCCTCACTATACACTAATTCACAACCTAAGGCCTTACTGTGTGTATGGTACATACTGATGTCACTTCTCTTACTAGTGTCTATTCAGTCCCTCAGCAAGGAGAACCGATTCTCTGCTCAGACAGGTATGCTGACATGCCTTGAGGCCACGTTATCTTTTATGTAGGTACCAGGACCTCAGACACCTAGGTGGGGAATGTAGAAGGTCTGAGTCAAAGCCATTTGGTCATAGTTTGTATCCTTCAGCCATCCTCTTAAAAGAATGGAAACAAGGAAGTAGTCTGGAAAGAACGATGCCCAAATTCCCAAATATTGTGTATAAATGTTTGTTTTCATTTCATTGGACTTTGTTATATAAAATTAAATAAAAAATTATATATATATATATAAAAAAAAGAATGGAAACAGTGTATCCTTCAGAATTGTAACTGAAAGTTAACTTAGATTTACTATTTCCAAAGACTCAAAGCAGCAACTCTTGGTTACCTGAATAAATATACAACACAAACTCTTTACCAGCAAAATGGAATCTGGTACAGAGATTTCATCAGAACGTAGAAGGAACATGCCTCTTACCTCAATGTCAAATACTTCCACAGTGCCATCCAGCAGCTTCACTCTGATGTGCAGGTGCTTCTCCTGCATCCTGGGTGACAGAGTCTGCTCCGGCTCCAGGGTGCTCACTCCGACAGAAGTCTGGCCGCCCAGACGTGTTCCTGAAGTCGGTAAAGCTCTGTATGTTCCTTCTATTTCCCCCATTCTTCATTAGTTGAAAGTGGAGGAAACACTAAAACAAAAACATACTAAATAACTATCATTTAGATATGAAAGCAATGTGAAAAATGGGCTCATGAGAACCCAGACATCATGTATATTTACCTTTTAACTTCTGTGAGGTGGGGTTTTTTGTTTGTTTGTTTGTTTGTTTTTTGAGACAGGGTTTCTCTGTATAGCTTTGTAGATCCTCTTACCTCTACCTCCTGAGTGCTGGGACTAAAGAAGTGTGCCACCACTGCCTGGCTTAACATCTGTGTTTAAATACATTAAAATAAGGAACAAAGTTTTTCTTCTCCTATGCATATAGTTGTAGCACAAAATGAATAAAACCTCGGCTAATATTTCCAAGGTTCTGTGAGCCAGCCACATATATTACTCACTGAACCTCTAAGAAGCCATTCATGAGTGACATCATTACCATCCCCCTGGGAGAGGGAAGAAAACCCACTGCTCAATATCCAGCATGCCTTCCTCCTTCAGCCCAGTCACGTGTGCTAACAATTGGTCCAAGTGCTGGATAGTGTCCTTTCTAATAAAAGTAATAGAAGAGCATCAACACAAGTCTGGCATCGTCACAGTAATCTGAAGTAGCCACGGACCTGTCTTTTACATTGGCTCAGTGTGCACAGAAGGCCACCAGGGATGAAGCCAAAGGACATGAAAACACCCAGACTTGTCTTTGCCAGCCTTGTACTCCTTGTATTTTCTAGGGTAGAGCAGGTGCCACTGGCCCCTTGGGAAGAAATTTGGGGCATAGCATCAAATGACAGCCCGGACAAGGGTCTAGTGAACCCACACATAGGCCCCAGACTATTCTCAGGTATTCTCAGGTTGTACCCCACCTCAGACCCACCATAACACTGGCATTGCTATGTAAGATCATTTAACAGATGTCACTAAAGGGCCAAGAGGGCTGGGGTCATTTTCAATCCTCCTTGCTGCACAAAAGGAAAAGCCTGTTTTTAAGCTGTTAAGTCTAAAAGGGTAATTTCCTCCATGTTTTTAACAAAGAGCAAGCTAAGTATCTGGTAGAATCTCATAATATTGTTTCTCCTTGTACTAAGGTACTTACTATTTATGGCAATTTTTCTTCTTAAATATGTTAGTTATGTTTGAAAAATCAAAGAAACTGAAGGAGGTGGAGTGTGGCCTGGTTATCACAGCACTTGTCTGGCATGAACAAACCCCAAGTTCAATCCCAGCATCACATACAGCAGGCGGTGGTAGCACACACCCAATTCCAGCACTCAGAAGCAGAGGCAGGAGGATGGATGGGTCTGAGTTCAGCATCATCCTTTGTGACATAGACTTCTAGGCCAGCTTGGTCTATATGGGACCTTCTCTTAGAAACCAAAGCTAAAAAAGCTGGTTGTGGGGTACATGCCTTCAATTTCAGTAGAGGCAAGGGTCGCTCTGTGAGTCTGAGGCCAGCCTGGTTTACATAGGAGAACTTTAAAACAGATAACACCACACAAAGAAAAAGAAAAAAAAAAAGAAAAGAAAAATGTTTAACAGTAAAACCAGGGTAGCGAATGATACAGGCCAACGTGGTAGAAGTGAGACACAAACACCAGATGTTTAACCAGTAAAAAATGTAGTCTGCAAAACTTACTTTGTGTCTCTTCAATCACTATGTAAATGTTTTCTGCTAACTGTAGTAACCTTTTAAAGAATTGATCTCTCTTGGACTGTAGCTGTAGGTCAGTGGCAGAATGTTGGCCCAGGAGTAGACAAGGGTCTTAAATACCTAGCACTAAGAAAACAAAACAACAAACTTCGATCCTCAGCCCATTCTCTGCTACGCCAAGCACTGCTGTGAGGCCTTTCCAGTTTTCATGCACATATTACAAGACAAACCAGACCATGGATCTTGTAGCCTTTGAATTGGTTCTTCAGGACTCACTGCCAACCAACTCCTACTTAAAGCCACACCCCACGGGAGCTTGACTGAGAAGTGCTGTGTGCACCCAGTTTATCAAAGGAGGCCAAAATCTTTTGGCAAAGTGCAACACGAGGGCCAGTGAGAAGGCTTAGCAAGTAAAGGCACTTTGCCAAGCCCAGTGACCTGGGATCTATCCCCAGGACTCACACAGTGGAAGGACAGAACAGACTCCAGAAAATTCTGACATCCACTAATGTGCCACATATGCATCCACAACTAAATATTTTAAAAAACAAGTGTAACGGGAGCAAAGTGATGAAGTGGCACATAACTGTACCAAGTTAGTTTCCCAGCTCAATTCATGTATAAAGCCAGTTCAAACAGGACAACTACTTACATGTGAGGCTCAGGTAGCTGTGACCTACCATTCTGGAAGCTCGCCAGTCTGTAGTCTGCCTAAGGGCAGTGCTAGATTCTCAGTGTCTGCCAGCTACTTAGTTACTTGGTATCCGTGGCATTAAAAAACCTGCCCTGTCTCATCAAGTGGTATACTGAAGACTGAGCACAGCAGCCCGGCACTTCCGTGTGTACACTGTTAACACGAGTCTATGGAGCTCGGAGAACTGCAACCATGAACATTCTCCTTCACTTCCACATAATGTTAATACTGTAAATGGAGACTTCTACCTTTAGGGTACCTCAAAGTGGAAGTAGATGAAAATACAAACAGTGGCCTCTATGTCCTCATCAGTTTACATTTACCAAATACTGAACCAGCAGGTGTTCTCCTAAGTTTGAGTGTGAACTGTCCCCAAAAGTCCCAGTGGTAAAGGCCTGGCTACCATCTGATGGGCTCTTCAGAAATGACTGACTTACAAAGGCTCTAACCCGTGGTGGATTAATCTACTGACAGGTTCTTAATTGGATGGCATTATTGCCTTAGGACCTACGTGGAAGGGGGGGGGGGTGTCAGTGATTCTCTGGCTCTCTTGAGATCAGCTACTTTACTCCACCATGTGCTCTCTGTTGTGATGTTTCACTACAAATGCACCCAGAAGCAATGGGGGGTGACTATGGACTGACACCGGAGACCGACAGAATAAACGCCTCTCCCTGGAGTTGCTTTCTCAGGGATTTAATATTATTAGAGTGATAGGAAAACTGATGTCAAGTTAGTTCTTCTGAAACAAGGTGTGTTTTACTCTGATCATCAATCAGAGTAAATCTTCCCGTAAGTAAGGTTACTAAAGTCAAAATATATTTTTAGAGGCTATTTATCTAATTTATCTTATTGTGTGATTTTCACTTGTATTTTTATATGTATTAATTTAGAGATAGGGTTTTGTTATATCCACTGACTCAGTCCATCCTCCTGCCTCAGCTTCCTGCATGTTGGGCTATGGGTACACAACACTTTGCTCAGCTACTATGTTGAAAGGGAAAAATTCTTCAGGTTTTCTGTTTTTGTTTTTTTGTTTGTTTGTTTTGTTTTTCAAGACCTGGTTTCTCTATGTAGCACTGGCTGCCCTAGAACCCACTCTGTAGACCGGGCTGGCCTTGAACTCTAAGAGATACATCTGCCTCTGCCTCTGCCTCCTGAATGCTGGGATTAAAGGCATGTGCCACCACTGCCCAGCTTGTGTTTGTTATAAAATGGTTGCATCTGACCACACAGTTCTGAGAAAATGAACAAGGATAACCGGAGCCTAGAGGTACACACTAAGATGAAAAAGATACAAAAAGAAAATGCAAGGAAGTTATTCCCTCAGGACACGAGTCCCTGTATCACATAAACAGGACACGAGGTAAGTACTCCTAGGGTAGAAAGTTCACTTTATAAAGCATTAAGTCACACAGTGTGGTAGTATACATAGGCATCTATCTAGGAAGTTGAGGCAGGTGGTTACAAGTTCAAGACCAGCCTAGGCTAATACAGTAAGACTCAATAGTTAACAAATGCTCTTAACCACTGGACCATCTCTCTAGCCCAGCCCCTTTTTATATATTTGTTTTTATGTGCATAGGTGTTTTTGCATGCATGTATGACTGAGAACCTCAAGAATGCAGTGCCTGAGAAGGTTACAAAAGAGCATCAGATCTGGAACTTGACTTATGAACAGTTGTGAGCCACCATATGGATGCTCAGAACTGAACCAGGATCCTTTTTAAAAAAATATTTATTTACTTATTAATATATGTCTGTGTGTCTATGTATGTGCCACATGCCTATAGGAGCCTGTGGAGGTCAAAAGAAAGCACTGGATTCTCTGGTAGTGAAGTTACAAATGGTTGTGAACGATCATGTGGCTGCTGGGAACCAAACCCGAGTCCTCCTGAAAGTGCAACAAGCCTCCCTCCCTCCCGCCCTTTTCTTTTTAGAGATGTATTTATTTGTGTGAAAGTTTCACTTGCATGTATCTCTGTGTACTACATGCATGCTTGAAGCCGGAGGAAGTCAGAGGATTGCACTGGATCCCTGAAACGAGTTATGGATGGTTGTGATCTATTATGTGGGTGCTGGCAATCAAACCCAGGTCCTCTGTAAGAACAGATGCTCTTAAACATTCTCTCTCAAAAAACAAAAGAAATGGAGCTAGAGAGATGACTCGGCAGCTAAGAGCACTTGCTATTCTTGCAGAGAACCTGGGTTTGGAACCTAGCACTGACATCAGGGAGCTTACTATCACCTGTAGCTCTAGTTTCAGGGGATCTGACTCTCTGAAGGCACTGCGTGAACATGTGCACACACACTAAACAAATCTTAACAACAACAAACCCTACAAAATTAAACCATAAGTTCATGTATATTTGGTAAAAATATATTTTAAACACAGCTTAACTCTAGTCCTAGCTGTGACTTTTTATAGTAATTAGTTCATCGGCCACGAGAACAAAAGACCCAGAAGAGCTTGAGGGATATCATAGCTCTCCTGAACTATGAGGCGAGGCTTGCCACAGAAATCTCTGCAAGCTTACACACCTACTGAGCAATGACCTTTGTCTTTCTTTTCACCTGGTTCAAAGGGAGTCCTAACACACTCTTATTCACACTGGTTTGGATAAGCATTGAAGGGGAGGCAACTCTGCTGCAATTTCAAAGACAAATCTGCTTGCTGGTCCGCAACAGT